TTATAAACTGGACTCATGGGCCATTAGGGAACCTAATCAAATTTTCTTCTGTAGGTTTTGGAATTGAGTTCATGTTAACACATTGAAATATATACTATGGCTATAACAATAATTATAGTAGGTTGTTACCAAACCTAAAACAACTAGAAGAAAATTATTGTAAAATAATCTCAAGAGTCCCAGAAATCACTCTACAGCAAGACCCCAGTATAAGCCATTTTGAAGTATTTACTGGTCACATGTTCTAAAATAGCAAGAGATTATAAAAATGATGCCATTTATCTGTTACAATGTGTATTACATTGCTTTTGGATGTCCTTGTTAAGTGATGTTTTTGTAAGAAAATAACTTTTGTGCAGCTTTCTAGATTGTATAGAATTATTAATAAAAGTACTAATTGCTTAGTACTTCTGTGTAACAGCCACTTTAGTATATTATCATTTAATTTTAAAAAATAAGAATTTAAGAATTTTTAGCCCCGCTGTAAGGCTTAAATGAAATCATTTGCCCAAGATGACTTAGCTAGTAAGCGGCAGTGCTTGGTTTGTGTCCAAGTCTTTCTGCCCCATGTTCTTTCTAGTATATTATGCTGCCTTGTTTTTCTCAGCCCCTACTATGTAAGGCACTATGACTTAAATTATGTTATGTTAGTGCCCCTTTACAGAGACAGACTTAGATGAAAGTCCTTGCCCCGAGTCACACAGTAAGGACAGACCCACAGAACAAGTCACTTCCTGTCACAGCTGAAAAACATGTTTCTGGGAAACAAATCAGCCTAGCACCATCACAGTAACAAAAAACTTCTTTGGAACCAAAAATGGGAAGGCGGGGGGGAAAAAAAAGAACCAAAAATGGAACAGTGTTTATTAGGAAAATCCATTAGTCTGATACAGAGAGAATGATAATATTTCAACTCTTTTATGAGATATTCATATTTTAATATTCTTAATATTTTTTAAGTTGGCAAAAACTAAAATGCCTCTTAAATGTGACTACACGTTTCTGGTTGCTTTTCTATTCCACATCTTCCCAGGGCTCTTCAAAAATGATGGAAGCAAGCTTGCAGAATAGACTCTCACAAACACCTGGTAACCCACTACATAGTATTTAAATTCCAAGATGGCAATTTGGGGGCTTTACTCATGAGAAAAAATTTGTTTTCTAAAGTATTAGAGTAAACAGTTTACTTTCCAAAATTCTGTCTTGAATACTCTTAATTTACATGTGGTAAAACAAGTCCAGAGATCCCCATGCCTTAACCAAAGTTACACTGCAAATCAGGAACAGAGCCAGGATTAGAACCTTTGATTCCTGGTTCCTAGGACAGTGGTTTTTCTACCATCCAGTTCCTTTTCTTCCCATGGTGTAAGCTGAATTTAGTGGGTTATTCAGTCCCTCAAGCTTTGCATTACTGATTAAAAGAAAGTAAATACCCATAAACTTAAGAGATTTTATTGAGGTGCTTGAATATGAAAGATATCAGGGAAAAACAACAAATGTCACTTTTCTGACCTAAGTTTAGATTTTCTGGTGTTTTAGTCCAATGTCAAAGATTCCATTTATCTTCCTCCAGAATTGCACAGTATAGCTCCCATCGGCTTTGGCAGTGGAGTACTATAATGTGAAGAATGTAGGCTCTGAAATCAGAGGGCTTAAATACCAGCTCCACCACTTACTGGTTATGTAACTAACCTTGGACAAGCCATGCCATCCCTCTTTCTGTTTACTTCTCTCTAAAATGGAGATATCTGGGGGCTCAGTCAGTTAAGTATCCCAAGTCTTGGTTCGGGTCAGGGTCATGATCTTGGGGTTATGGGGTTGAACCCGCATCAGGCTTTGCGCTCAGTGGGGAGTCTGCTTCTCTCCCTCTTCCCCTCTCCCTGCTCATGCGGTCTCTCTCTCTCTCTCTCTCTCTCTCACACACACACACATACACACACAAATTAAATGGAGATATTTTAAGACTAAAATAAAGGAGCTTAGCACATAATACATTCTAAAAGTTAATTCCCTTTTCCTTTGGAATCAGAAACCTGGAATTGTTGCAACTCACTTTGTACAGATTACCTTGAGCCTTCATTTTAAATGGGATTTGAGTGACTATCTTGCAGGATTATTTTAAGGGTTAAATGTGTACAAAACACTGATCACAGCATCTGATACTTGACTCTTACTACCTTGCTCTGGAGTATGTTTATGATTGGTAGCAGAAGACAGAATAATATGGTCCACCATTCTTCATCAACTATAGAGAAATTTTCTTTGATGGACTTGGAGTGAAGAAATTATTCACATTTCAGTCCCTATAATCATGTTTACTCATCTCTTCTAAGCATCCCTACTCTGTCAGAGATGGGACTTTTGCCTACTCTACCTCAGTCTTCAACATGGAACTGGAAGACATCAAGATTTCATAAGCCATCCTCACATCTGCGCAGTGCTAAACACAACAGTCCCTAGCAGTTCTCTCTCTATCAAGAGTCTAGAAACAGGCCTGAAAAAGATTACTTAAATCACCCAGGTAAGATACATTTTCTTTTATTCAGTGTGACTTAGAATAGTCACTGCTTATCCGTGATTACTTTCTCAGTGACTTTCCACTACCAGCTCTTTCTTCATTCCATGCCCAAATATGGTTACCTGAGAGTTGGCAAAACAAATCCTGGTCTGCCAAACAGCATAGTGAACAGAATTGATGGTCAGGTAAACTGATGTTGTTTGAAGCTTTTAGGAACAGGTACCAAACCTGACCAGGGAGAGTTTCACACTACAATTTTTCTAGCATAGTAGAGTATACAGATGGGGGCGGGGGGAGATGAGAGGAAGGAGACTCAAAGACAGTGAAGGCTGGAATTCGCTCCCACTATCCCTTGTTGTTTACTTGTTATTGAAGTATAACATACATATGTAAAATGTATGAATATCATAAGTGTACATATACCCCAATGAATTTTTATAAACCAACACCCATGTAACAATCAGCATGAAGCTCAAACAGAACGTAACCAGCTCCCCAGGTACCCCGCCTCATCTCCCTCCCAGTCATTACTCCTACTCCAAGGGAAGCCACTATCCTTTTTTTTTTTTTTTTTTAAGATTTACTTATTTTAGTGAGAGAGAGCAGGGTGAGGGAGAGAAGCAGGCTCCCTGATGAATGTGGAGCCCCACGCAGGGTTCAATCTCACATCCCTGAGATCGTGACCGGAGCCGAAATCAAGAGTCAGATGTTTAACCGACTGAGCAATACAGGCGCCCCCCCTAATTTTCTTTTATATCTTTTTAATTTATGTACAGTAAAATTCTCTATGCTGTTCAATTCTGTGAGTTTTGACCCATGTATATACAGCTCGTAATCACCCCCAAAACTTCTAGTCCGTACCTACTCCTACCCCCAAACTCTGATAACCACTGATAATTTCTCAGTGCCTATAGTTTTGCCTTTCCCAGAATGTCCTATAAATGGAACCGTACCCTGTAAATAATTTTGGGTGTGGCTTCTTGGACTTAGCAAAATGCATCTGAGGTTCAGCCATGTTGCTGCAGGAATCAAGTTTGTTATTTTCATTGCTAAGTAGTAGTCCATTTTATGGATGTATAATTCATTTATCTATCCCTTCACTGAAGGACTTTTGGATTGTTTTCAGTCTTTTCCTCTACATTTTTGTGCTTCTTTGCAACTTTAGGTCTGCAGCAGCAAGGATCAGAACCAGAAATGGGTTTCTGATCTGACAGCTGTGACAGGCCCTCCCCCACTCTACCTCCCTGTCTACTGTGAGCATCCATACATTTAGGCGGTTGTACAGGAGCTTATCCTAAAACAAACTTTAAATGCAGAATAATATATCCCAAGAGCCTGTTGACAGAACAATATTATGTCTAAAGTAGGAGAGTACGAGAGTAAGCAATTTCAAATTTTTAGAATTTCAAATTCCCAGGAATAATACTCAGATGGTCCAAAAGCTGGATGTGCCAGTGACCCGTACCAGATTCTCATTGCTAGTGTCTGAAGGGAAATAAATGTAGTCTAGTTAGGATAGTAGTAAATGAGAAGAATATATAGTCTGAGCAACCAATGAGAACATTTGTTAGAGGTGAGATTAATAGCCTTACGATTTAGAAAACAGTCCATGAAGACAGTCCTAATCTTTCAAGAAAATCTAGTTTGTTGAACACCAAAGGATTGTAGCTTGTTTTTTTAAATTAATGACTACTAATTTCCTTTAGCTGGTAACTTCTCTGTATCTTAAACATTACTTACATTCTATGATTAACAGAAATCTAATTCCAAAACAGTATATTTAAGGAATCCTTGAACCAGAGCTGCCCATCCCCTTCACTGATGGCATGCAGCTAGCACAACGGGCCTTGTCCGTGTTTTCCATTCAGATCGTAATATGACTTGATTTCTCTGGTGTGTTTTCAAAAATGACAACAATAACAACATTAGGTCATTCCTCTTAATTGGCGCTAAACTGAACCTTAGAACTACTGGTGTTACCCAAAATAGGAATAAACTATTCAAATTGAGCATATATTCATCCCTGTTTCTGCAAATCAACTGTTAATGACCAATATCATTTGGACAATTCTTACCTACAGTAAAATGATTTTTTTTAAATTGTGTAGAAGTCTGTGCACAAAACAATTAGCATGTGAAACAAGACATGGTGAATCCTCTGATGGAAGAAAAGATTAGAACAAGTGATGTAATCTTTCTTTAGGATGTCTAAAATCAGGTTCATTCACCTCACAGATGGGAGGGCTAAAGACAAGATGAAAGTCCCATATGTTTCACACTATGAATTTCTACGAAAAGATTTTCTAAATCTTGTGACAGTCATTTGATCAAAAATATCTACTTCCCTAGTGGTATTTAAGACTAGAAAAGATATGTCTTAATAATAGATCCCTCGGGGCGTCTGCCTTCCACTCAGGTCATGATCCCAGGGTCCTGGGATCGAGCCCCGCATCGGGCTCCCTGCTCCGCAGGAAGCCTGCTTCTCCCTCTCCCACTCCCCCTGCTTGTGTTCCTGCTCTGGCTGTCTCTGTCTCAAATAAATAAATAAAATCTTTAAAAAATAATAATAGATCCCTTTCTTTCTGAAAGTTCAGTGCTTGCTTCAGATCTAGTTTAGCTGACGTTCCTTACTTACTCTTACTAGGAAAAAACTTTACTAACCTTTTAACTATTTTTCTACCAGTAGCTAATAATGATTGTACTTAATAGAATATTCTCTCCATCACCCACATTTTAACCTTAATGCTTCTTGACATGTCTCTTCCCCAAATATTCAGTCACCAAATACTGTTGATTATTCCTTAATGTCATATGTTTCTTGCTATTATTTCCACTGTCATCACTCTAATCCTTAACCCGCCCTCAACCCCAAGCCTTGATTACTGAGGTGGCGTCTTAATTCATCTCTCAGCCTCTAATTTGCCCCCTTGCTGACCCAGCCATCACCAGATGACTTTTCCTAAAATGCAACTTGGATTGTGTTTCTCTTCAGTGACCTTCATGGATCCTAAATCCAAACCAATTAACTTACCCTGTCTAGTATAGTTCTGGAACATAGTATGAGGTCAGTCAGTCATCCCCTGCCACCTACCTCGCCAGCCATACCTCATCAGTTCTTGTCTGTGGCTGTTGGTCATGCAAAGCCCTACCTTTCTTCAAGGCCCACCCTAAGTCCCTCAGAAGACTCCCTAGTTACAGCCCATGGAAACTGAACGCCGGCAGTATATACTGAGTATCCACTTAACACTGAGCATGTTCTCCCTGTTCTGCTTTTACCTCCTTAGGTACTTGGTTTGTCTCAGATTGGGTGGCCTTCTCCTTGTGTTCGTCTGCCCCAGTAAGGTACCCATGGCAGGTGATTGGAGTGCACAGCCTGCGGGCCTCTTGTACAACAACAGTCTTCACTGCCTTGGCTTTTCATGACCTGAAAACATCATTGTGTAAAGTGTTAGCAGCCACTTCATTTGCAAATCGGTACAGTTGGGAGGGAAGAGTGGATGGGAGTAGATAAAACAGTCTGACTACAGATCTCTAAATCAGCCAAATTTTTTATTTAATTATAGTCCTTTCCTTTCTGGTCCCTGGTATAGTGTTCACCACCGCTAATATTCTCTGTGCATACCAGTCCTTCCAAGTGTTCCCCAAATAAAAATTATTTGGGCTTGTTCTTAATTAGTCAAAGACATCACAGCTCATAAAAATAGAAAAATATAAACCATGGTTTGTTGAGATGAAAAAATATGAATTTTTCTAAGATTTTGGGTAAAAGAATTGTGCCTCCATATTTTGCTGGCCCATTAGCTCACAACTGTCAACACAGGTTCTCCACCCCCTGCATCAAAGGCCCCCTCTTCTTTCTGAGTCCCCAGAGACTATCTTTAATGTGTTCCATCCCATAGCATCTGCTACTGTTCCTCAGTTCCCTGGCAAGCAATCTCCATGTTGTGGGGGGGCACCCTGAATCCTTGGGGAGCCAGAGCTGTGTCTTTGGCAGAGTGGAGAAGAGCTCTTTGTATTTCATATAATGGAATAGAGTCGGGGTGGGGGGGAATGGTCCCAGAACAGTGTTGTTTAGGTCCCAACATCTCATAGAAGTCTTAGTGAAACTAGTTCTTGTTTCTAGAAGGAAACTCAAAGGCACTCTTCCTCTCCTCAGTATGAGTCCAGAATAGGGACCAAACTCTCCTCAGTGCTTCTGCTCCTCTATACGACTTGTTTCTAGGTTAAATTACTGGTCGTCATTGTCTCATTGCGCTGATACACCCAGGGATGTCCATACCTCAGAAATGGCAGGATCCAGGCTCAAGCCAAATCAAGAGTTCCCCATTACATATAGATCTCTATGTGTGTAATGACTATGGCCAAAGCTATGTCCATGCTAAGGCCAAGCAAATGAGTCAGACATAGAAGCCTCTGGAGCCCAGAGACAGCAAGTTCACCGATGAGTCACAGGGGAATGACTCCCTAGAGATAGGGAAAGGACCTCAATTGCAAAATTGCTCACCCAAGCTCTTAGGTTGTAGCTGTCTGACACCTTATCAGTGTCACCTGGAGTTTTGCTAGAGAAATAACTTCATGAACACAAATCTTGCCAGTACCTTCTGGTTGCTCCTGAAGTGTGACAAAATGAGCCTTTTCATCCTCGTGGTCAAGAGGGTGAGACTTACTAAGGATGCTTCTATTTATTTCATCCTCTTCGGACAGGCCATAGCCCCTCTGCCAGGGCCACCTGCTAGTCTGTTTGTGTGAATCAGAAAGAGGTGCCCCCTCCTGATGGATCCAGCTCAGAATGGAAAAACAGCTTCCACACATGTCCCGCTCCGATTCTCCAGAGCAGACTTCAGAGCCATCATGACCTACCTTTTACATATGGATAAACTGAAACTCAGAGAAAGGAGAACGAACCTGCCCAAGGCCACACAGTGGACCAGTGATAACGAAAGAATAGAGCTCGGATCTCTTGAAGTCCAGCCCGTGGAATTGCCACGGATCATCTCAGGGTGTGATAAGCAGCAGCGTCCTGGCCTGTTCCAAGAAGCCGGGCCTCCCTTCCCCACAGAGCAGAGCAGGCTCGAGAACTGACAGATTCAGACGCAGGGACACCTTCTCTCGCACTCAGTGTTTTTATTACATTTGTCCTCTACCCAAGGCAGGGAGGCTCTCATTCCCGGGTACTTGTGAGAGGGCGAGGACAAAAAATAAGGGCACAAAGAGAAGCAGAGAAGTCAGGATTTCAGCAATCCACTCCCCACATCCCCAGCACACATGGAGAGCTGCACTTCTGGTCTACCTAGAAGGGTGCTTCTCAGACTGTGCTGGGCACCAGAAGCAGAAGCATACATTGCTGGCCCTACCTCCAGAGCTTTGATTTAGCGGGTCAGAGGTGGGCCTGAGAATGTGCATATCTAACACGTTCCCATGCTGTGGGGTCCGGGGACACACTCTGAGACCCCAAGGCCTAGAAAAATAGACAACCCACCCTTTTCTCCCTCACCTTCTTCATTCTCTCTCCTTTCATGTCCCTCTCTGTCCTTTTCTGTTTCTTCCTCCTCCCTCTTTTTGGTCTTCTTCCCATCTTTCAAAACATGATGGAATGAGCCAAGCTGCCAGGGGTCCCAGTTCTAGTTCCAGCTCTGTCACTGACTAAATGTGTGAACATAGGGTGAAGTCACTTCCCCAGCATAGGCCCAAGGAGAGGCACCCCCACTCCCACCCTCCCAGCTCCTCCCCAGCCAGGACCACATCTACCCGGGCTCATCCCTGTATCCCCACTTTGTGCAGTATGTACTTGCAGAGAGGCTGATGAATGAATTTGCGGGGCCTTTCAGCCTCCTTGCAGTTCAGGGGATTCTGACTTCTTCCTTCCAAATCTGAGCTTTTCCCTCTTCAACGGCACATATTGAGGATCTTTCTAGAACAAGGAGAGGGCCAATAGTTGAGGGGAGAGAGCCCTAGAACAGCCTGTGAGCTGGGGTAATCAGACCCCAGACAACAGGTACCTGACATTCAGGGACAGATAAGTGGGTGTGCCCAGAGGCTAGGAGCACCTGGGACCCTGAGAGCCGGCGGCGGCCGAGGTTCCAGCAGGGGGCGCCAGAGAGAGGGCCAAGACCAGCGTGGTCAGCCCAGGTGTCCAGCCTGGGCTGGGCGGCGGGGCCCCAGGGGCGTGGACGCCGCCGAGGCACGCCCCGGGCGCACTTAAGGAGCTGCAGGCCAGTGCCGGGGAGGAAGGACGGGGGAGGCCTCGGCTGCTGCTGACCCAGGCGGACCCAGCCTGGCCCCCGCTAGCTCTAGACCGCGCCATGAGGGGCCCGAACGTGGCTCTGTGGCTCTTCCTCGCTCTGCGCACAGGTGAGGCCCGGCCGCCTGGCCTTGGGAGCAGGAGCTGGGGCGGGGGCCCTGCAGTTGTCTCAGCCCCCGAGCAAGGTCCCAGGCCGCTGGGAAGTGTGTCCTGAATCCGTATCTCCCTGGAAAGGGGGGAGGCCTGGAAAGGCGGAAAGCACCGCTCAGTGCGACGGGGGCGGGGGGGGACGACACTGACCCCAGCTAACTGGGACGTCCGGAGGGCTTCTTGGAGGAAACAGCATTGAACTGGGCCTTGGAAAAGCCGGCCTTCTGACCAGCCAAGGAGAGGAGCAGTCGGAGGCGTGGAGGGGAGAGCCTTAGGGGGGCAGGAGGAGAGCTGGGAGGGTGAACGCTCTTGATAGGCGCGGAAGCTCCAGGAGGGTTTGGGGGCCAGAGCGCCTCTGCTTCTCCTGAGCCCCCGCGGGAGAAGATTCTAAGGGACTGGGAGGGGCGCGAGATGCGACCGGGAGCCGGCCCCAGGGCGCACTGCAAAGGAGGAGGAAGGGGCGCTGCCCTGTCTCCCCGTGTCTGCACCGCCGCCCCCAAGGGAGCCCGGGCCCAGCACACTGAGGGGTGAGGCGGGGCCTGGGGGAGCTGCGGGCAGGGTCCCGCGGACAAGGGTGGCCTCGCCGCTCTGACCTCACTAATACACTGGACCCGCCACCCCGGCCCCAACTCTGCACCTGCCAGGCCTACCAAGGTGCAGGCCTGGGGCTCTGGAGAGCAGGCAGTCTGGGGCGGCAGTTTCACATTCCAGGGTGCTGCCCGGAGTTGGGTGGCAAAAGGAAGGCTGTGGAGGAACCTGCAGTCTTGACCCTTGGTGTGGGGATGGGAAGGACAGGCTGCCACAAGAGGATGACCTAGTCGCTGGGGGCCAGGAACTGGACCCAAAGCTGGGCGGCAGGAGTGGGGGATGGAGGAACTTCGGGTCTGCAAAGGCATCAACCACAAGGAAGTCTGGCACCACTTCTGCTGGGCCCCCAGGCTGGGAGCTCTCCAGGACTCTGACCTGGTCAGGTGCGGGGACCCAGTAGGGTCCCCACCAGGAGAAGGGGCCTAAGCAAAAGGCCACCAAGGCCCCGTGCATCCTGGCTCTCTACCTAGGTTTACTTCAGCACAGAAGGTGGATTTTCTCATCTGTGCTCTCAGATGACAAAGCAAGCTCAGAGAGGTCAAATAAGTTGCCTGAAGTCACCAGCTCCTTCTCCAGGAGCAGAAACTTGAACTCAACCTGCTGATTCCTCAGCTTCCCCTTGGCAGGGGTGGGTGACCCTGAGGGTGGGTTTGCAGTGAGCATCATCACAGATGCTCCAAGGGGGTGCAAGACTCCTCAAGGGCAGCCACGACTTCCCAGTTCATGAGGAGGGCTCAGGGACCCTGAGTGAGAGAACCTATCATCCTCTGGCTGGAGGACACAGAGGCCCAAAGACGGACAGGGACTGGCCTAGTCCCAGAACCAGACAGGACTCCCCAGCCAGTGCTCTTTCCACCCGGCAGGCTGCTCTCCAGGCCAGTGAGCAAGGTTGGGGCTAGCTGAGCGCTCCCCTAGGAGACCCCCCTGCTCCCCGGCCTTGGCCTCTGTAAAGGGCCAGGCTCTGAGCTGCCCCATCTGCCCCAAGTGCGGCGATATGCATGGCCCCACACACAGCTTTGCCAGTGAGCCCAGCTCCTTTCCGGTCTGTGACCCGTCTCTTTGCCTCAGTCCCTCCCAGTGGGTGGGACCGACTATGCATGTTGTTGGGGTCACACAACCCTGGGGGGGGGATCGGAGCGGGGGGCAGGGGCTGGGGAGGCTAGGGGCGCTGGGCCTCACTGTCCCCGCCCCCAGCGCTCAGCAGGATGGAGGTGCGGTGGTGCACCACCTCAGACCCAGAGCAGCAGAAATGCAGTGACATGAGCAGAGCCTTCCAGGAAGCCGGTATCCAGCCGCCCATCCTGTGTATCCAGGGCACCTCCACTGACCACTGCATCCAGCTCATCGAGGTGAGTCCCCCTCCGCCCCCGCCCCGCCACTGCCACCTGCCAGACAGGAGGGCTCTGACTCAGGAGGGGCTGCACAACAGCGTCATTCACGGAGGAGGGCGCTGACTTGCCCTGCCAGGGCCAGGCCGAGGCTCTCCTGAGTTTCCCAGGCAACAGGGGCCAGCTTGCTTCCTGCCAGGGCGCAGGCCAGGGAGGCCGCAGGGGGGGCCCCGGCTCAGATGGGCCCCAGTGGGGAAAGGCTTCGAAGAGGCAGAGGTTTCCTTCCCCAAGGCCCCTGCTAGAGTAGGGACACGCCCCACCCCGCCCAGGGGAGCCCGGGCAGCTGAGCCCGCGATGGCGGTTTTCCAGAATGGGGCTTGTGCAGTTTCTCAGGAAGGAGGAAAAGGGGCCGGCCGTCCTGGGTGGGTGACTGCGGGCAGCAGAGCTGCTCAACTAGCCCTGATGCTCCTCAGAGCTGGGACTTCAGTGGCAAGACAGTGTGTGGACGGAAGCACCAGGGGACCTGGGTTTGCATTTCAACTTGGCCCTTGATTTCTCCCCAGACCTAAGCCAAGTCCCACATGGGCTGCGGGCTTAGGTCAGGCTCCATGGCGAGGAAAGCAATTATATTGAACTAGAATTTTATCATGCACCTCAGGACACTGTGTTCGAAAATACAATTGGCACCATAGGCCATTTGTGTTTGAAAATAAAAAGGGAAAAAATGAAGAGGGCATTTATGGGACTCAGTCTGCCTCCTAGAAAACCTGAGAAACAGGTTAACAGTGGAGTCAGGGCGCTGAGAAATAGGGAAATGAGGGAGATTCCCTTTTTACTACGTACCATTTTGTACGGTCTATTTTTTTTTTTTTTTTTTTTTTTTTTTACTATGGAAAGCCATTAGAAGCCCTAGAAAATCATTTTTAAATAACATAATTAGAAAACAAGGCAAGCCCTTGGCCTAGGAGAGCGGTCACCTAGGACCTGGTAAAGGGTAAGCCCTCTAGGCCCTGGTGGTACAAGACCAAGCCAGGGCAGGGTTCCCGGGCCAGACAAAGAGGACCAGTATGGACCTCCGTGGCTTTTCAAGGGGCCCTAGGCAGGCTAATGGATGCCCCTGAGCTCCTGGCTGAATGGGCCGAGGTGGCCGGGCTGCGCTGACCCACATGTTCCCAGCAGGCCCGGGAGGCTGATGCCATCACCCTGGATGGAGGAGCCATTTATGAGGCAGGGAAGGAGCACGGCCTGAATCCCGTGGTGGGCGAAGTATATGATCAAGGTCAGAGGGCTGAGCGGGTTGGAGGGGTGGGAGGACCAGAGGATGACACTCTGCAGTGTGTCCTCGCCGGGCCTGGCCCAACCCTATAGCCCTCAAGCTGGTCAGGAGCCCTGACCAGACAAACCTACAGAGACCCCCGCGCCTAAGTCTCTCTTGACACCCCCCTCAGAGCAGGGGTGCCAGAGACACAGAGGGCTGACCGGAGTCTGTTCTTGTGGGGAGCCCATCACCCCTGTAACTTACCCACAAGCTCTTACTGAGGGACTGCCCCAGGTCTGCCATAGAGTTGGGCGTAAGTTCAGCGGCCCTCTGTCAGAAGCAGCATGGAGGAGGAATAGGGCCGGGCCAGAGCGGTTGACTAGAACCTGCAGAGCCCAGCAAAGCCAGAACACATCCCAGTTCTACCCCTTCCGGTGATCCTCTGTGACCCTGAACAACCTTCCTTCCCTGACTGTAAAATGGGGATAGTGAGCCCCGTCCTGTCACACAGATTAGATGAGTCAGCAGATGCACACCTGACACGTGGTGTGTGCTTAGAAATGTGAGTTCCTTTGCCCCAGTCCCTGCACCTCACACCAGACATGCCTCTAACCCAGCCGGCCCTTTGGGGCTCCCCCACCACCTCTACTCGTCCAGAGGGCTAGCCCCCGTCACAGCCCAGCTCAGCTGTCACCCCCAAGAGCTCCCCTGACCCCTCCCACCCCTGAAAGGGCTTCTCTTTCCTGCTTTCCCGGAGCTCTGAGTCACGCTGTTAAGATCCTGTCCTCTTCTGTCTTGCTGTCCGTCCTCACCACAGTGAGTCCCTTGAGGGGGGCCTGGTCCTCATCCCTGTAAAGCCCCAGGTATCTGGTACCCAGCACAGGGCCTCACTTGGCTTCTTGGTGAACTGATGACCGTCCGATGGCACAGGACAGAGCCTAACCCTGCAACCCAGCCGGCCTTCCCACGCAAAGGCCAGAAACTGCCCTACCTCACTGGCCCTCTGGAATTCAGCACACTGACTGAGCACCTGCCGCAGGCCAGTCTTGAGCACAGAGTTGTAAGCAAAAGAGAGCCAGTTCCTGCCCTCGGAGAGCAGGAGTCAGATGAACCAATAAACCAATAAACACAAAGAAATGTAGCCACCAATGTGGTAGGTGCCGTGGAGGAAGGAAAGGCCGCAGGAAGAAAAGAAGGAATGTGGGGGGACCTAGAAATAGAGCAGACTGGAAGGCTTCGCCGAGGCGACGTTTAAGCTGAACCCCGACAAGCGTCCCAGGTGGGACAGAATTTGGTATGTTTAAGGAACCAGAAAGAAAGGGCACGGTGGGTAAATCAGAGGGTGGGACCAGGCCAGGCTGCTTAGGTTGGCAGGGGCTAGCTCAGCTGTGCAAGAAATGACACTGGCTTTGTTTTCTAGAACTCAGCTTCATTCTGACCGTGGGCATCCCACCACTACAGGGCAGTCGGGGGGGGGGGGGGTGAATGTGGGGGCGGGTAGGGGGATGTGATGCCCTCTCGTCATCAGTCCCCATAGGTAAGTCATCCCTGTCTTGTCTTAATGGCCCCCATGGGCCACATTTGGCCCAGGGGAATCTTTTGCAAGGCTGCCCACCCACATATATCCCATTCACGTTTTTGAGTGATTTGGGGCCCTGCTAGTTTCATATATTCTCTCTCTCCCCCTCTCCTCCTCTCCCTCCCCTCCCTCCCTCCCTCCTTCCTACCTTCTCAGCACCTAATCTGGGTGAAGATCCTGCGGGCTCCACCCGCTCCTCCCACCACTCTTCTTCCCGTAACCATGATACCATCCCCTCAGTCCCTCTCCGTTCCCCCAGAGGGCCGGGATTTTGGAGAACACAAGACTTGCAGGCTATTTCTGCTTTCAGTGTAGCTACAGAGCCCCCCTGACATGCACAAATGTAGACTCAGCTAAGTGTCAGCTGACGTGGGAAGGAGAAGGGAGAAAGGAGCCTCTCGGGCTGACAGCTACTATGTGAGACTGGAGGAGGCCGGAGTCTCCTGCTAAGACGTGTGGATTGTACCCACTTGCTCTCTCGGCAACTAGGAAGCCCATGCACACAGGCACGTGTACATCCGTACACACATGTATGTGCGCGCGCGTGCCCAGGTGCCTGTGTGCACACACACACACCCCCGTCTCCCACAGCCTTCCCAGGCAGGGTTCTGGCCTCTCTCATGGCTTCTCCCCTGCCGCCCTCACTCCTCTCCTGTCCCTCCTCCTAGAGGTCGGTACCTCCTATTATGCTGTCGCCGTGGTCAAGAGGGGCTCCCACGTGACCATCAACACCCTGAAGGGTGTGAAGTCCTGTCACACGGGCATCAACAGGACGGTGGGCTGGAACGTGCCGGTGGGCTACCTGGTGGAGAGCGGCCGTCTGTCCGTGATGGGCTGCGACGTGCTCAAGGGTAAGGGCTTCGGGCCTGGCAGGGGCTTCTCCGGCAGGCGCGCTGGGTCTCCTTTCTCGCCACTGCCCTGACTTCCCCCGACGGGTAACCTCCCTCGGGCTCACCTTGAGCCTCCTATAATTAAGGAAAAGCACCATCGCGTCTCCTCCAGGGCCTCCCTGGCCCCTGGATGGTGGTATCACCCCTTCCTCGTTAGTGCTGGCCGGCCTGGTGCTGCTACCATTTAAGTTCTGGTGGAGTGGCCCCTCCGGGGCACTTGACACATGACCCTCGCTCATTCCTGCCGGTCCCCCAGGACACAGCCAAGCACAAGGCCCACCCACGGTTGGGAGGCAGTGATGCCCAGGGAGCAGCTCTCCCCTGCCGTAGACCTGTGCAGGTCCCTATTTCCAGAAACGTGTCCTCAGCTGGACAGATGAGAAACTGTTTTTTCAGGACCCCGAACAAGCTGCCGGCTTGCACCCAGAAAGCTCACAAGTGGGTAGAGACCTACGGCTCCCAGGTTGATTGATTTATAGTGAAAAGAGGGCAGTGCTGCAAATAGAATGTTCTCCCGTGGAAGGGAGTTGAGAGTGATCCAAGAGGGGTTGTTGAGAATAAAACACGCCGGGAGAGTGAGGTGAAGCCCTGTGCACCCGGCTGGAGCCCCCAGCCCTCATTCTGGTGGCCAGGGCACAAGTCCTGCTTCTCATGCTTTGGGCTTCTCTTCCCTGGCCACCCCGCTCTGACAGTCTGTCCATAGTGGGCTCCGTACCGTGATGTGGCCCCTGGCCTACGACAGCCACATTCGTAAACCGCCCTCTGGGGATCACACACACAGCCCCAACAGTTTGTCAGTGAGAGTGCCGCCTCCCGGGTTGTCCCCCAGGTGACCAGTACTTCTGGGGCTGGGGGCCAGTGGGAGAGCCCGCGGGAGAGCATAATGATGGTCTTTGAAAGCCCGGTCTTCACTGTCAGAGGGCTGTACATTTCAGCCCTGGCTCAGCACGTCTGCCTTCAAGTACGCGGCTCTGCCTCGTTGACCTTCAGTTCCCCATCTGCAAAATAGGACAATGAAGAGTACAAGGCTGTGGTGTTGGAAGGGCTGAGAGAGTTCACAGGACATCTCCACACGGTGCCTAGCACAGCGTATATCCTCAGTGCGCAGGGCTGTTGTTACAAGCTCAACTTCCATACCTCTCGGGGGCACCTTGCTGTTGCGTATGGACACGTGCACGCACATACATACAAACCTCTATGTGCACGCACATGGTGCACGAGCCCATACAGCGCACACATGCACGCATACACACCCACACACTGCCCCCTACAACCGCAGCTACCACGTAAACCAGCACGACCCACGGGAGCTTGGAAGCCAGGTCGTCTCAGATGGTGGCCAGATACAAGTGGTCTAACCGTTAGTCGGCACATTTATTAAATTTCTACTCCCCTGGGAGGATGCAAAAAGAAGACCAGGAAAGGCAGCCCACTCTGGAAGAGCTTGATCTAGCTGGCTGATGCGCCAGCATCCTGCTCACCCTACGTGGCACTAAGGTGACCTTAGCACAGGATAAATATTTGCCAACAGGGTGGACGCTGGGCCACGGTGCTCGCAGGGGCCCCAGAACCATGCAGATCCCGACCACTTTACCAATAAGGCCTTCCTCCCCGTTCCCCTGCCCTCCCTGTGCTTTGAAAAGTGTTGTCTATGAAATTATGGCATTACGTAATAATTTCTTTCCTTCCCCACTTTCATTGATTACATATAACTGATTCGAAGTGAAACCCACGATGAGAACAGAATGTATTTGATGGTTGTCCTATGTGGTTGTTTGGGGATAAATGTTTTCGTCCCTTGAGCCATTTTAAAATAACAACGTCATGGGCGCCTGGGTGGCTCAGTTGGTTAACCATCTGCCTTCGGCTCAGGTCATGATCCTGGAGTCCCGGGATCGAGTCCCACATCGGGCTCCCTGCTCGGCAGGGAGTCTGCTTCTCCCTCTGACCCTCCTCCCTCTCATGCTCTCTGTCTCTCATTCTCTCTCTCTCAAATAAATAAATAAATCTTTAAAAAAATAAAATAAAATAACAATGTCACTCCCAACGCCCAAGGCTGCTTTTGTGGCCCCAGTTTGGGAATCACTGACCCGGGCCAGTGCCTCCGTTTTGCTCAGACTGGAGCTTGGAGGGTCCCGCGCGTCCATGGGGGGGCCCCGGCCCCACTGCAGCCTGAGGTGGGGGAGCCCTGCCTGGGGGGACTGGTGTGTGGCTGACTGACCGCCCTCTCCCTCCTCCTTCCTGCAGCTGTCAGCGACTATTTCGGGGGCAGCTGCGTCCCCGGGGCAGGAGAGACCGGCTACTCCGAGTCCCTCTGTCGCCTGTGCAGGGGCGATGCTGCTGGGGAGGGCGTGTGTGACAAGAGTCCCCTGGAGAGATACTACGACTACAGCGGGGCCTTCCGGTGAGGGGGGGGCGGGGGCGGGGGGAGCGGAGTCGGGGACCTTGAGGCCACAGCGCGGGTGGAGAACCGCAGGGCCCTGAGCGGGCCGAGGGGAGTGGCATGTTGGCTGCAGCTCATCAAAGCGCCCTTTATATAGTTCAGGTACCAGGTTAGTTTAAAAACGTCCAACTGGAATATGCCAGACTTGGGTTTGCTCACAAAGTCAACATGTTTAGTGTATTTAGAGGGATGAGGGCTTAGAGAGGAGAAAATGGCAAAAACAGCCGGGTGGGACCCGGGTAAATACAGTTTGGCACAGAGAGGAAACAGTCCTCAGTCCTCCAAACCAGACACTTTGGCCCACCCCACTCTCGTGGTGTTCCCCCAGTCCAGGCCTTGCTTCTCTGCTGCCTGTGGGGACCCAGGCAGCCTTTGCCCAGTAGGCCCTGGTCCGCCGCCCTCATGGGGCGGTGACCTATAAAGGATCCATGGAAGTCCTGGTCCCTTCCACTCAGGGGTGTTTGGTGTGGCATGAGCAAGTCTTGTCTGATCCCCTGCTTCGGGGCAGACGCATCTTCAAAACACCCCAAGCATTGCCCTGTGAGCACCTGCTCCCTTAGGCCCCCAGCTCGGCTGTACAAGACCTGGACTGCCCATAAAGGGTCTCTCGCCGTGAGAGCTTTCTCATCCCCACTGGACAGGTGAGAGAGAGGGCTGCACAGCTTGGCAAAGCCGCACAGGAAACAAACCAGGGAGCTGGACCCTGGGACGGCCCGACCGTGAAATCTGGGCCCACCAGGATGGAGCCCTACAACCCAGAACAGCCCTCCAGAGGGCAGAGGAGCTCGACCCCGCCCAGGCTCACTGGTTTCTCCCCGCAGGTGCCTGGCAGAAGGGGCAGGGGCCGTAGCCTTTGTGAAGCACAGCACGGTGCTGGAGAACACGGACGGTGAGTGGGGGCGGCCAGCCCCAGGAGCAGGGCCGCGGGCCCTGTAACTGTGCCTGAAAGGGTGGGTCTTCTGACAGGGGTTCCAACTGTTCCGTGGGGCGAGGGGGGCTGGGGGACACAGCTGCCCGACTCTGGTTTGTGTCTGGCATTGGCTTCCCCTTCAAGATTGGGTTCTGATTGTGCAGAACATTTGCAAGTCTCTGCATGAACGCTCACCTACCCCTCCTTCTCCTGTTATCTGGAGAAGCCATTCTGGATCCCTGAAGGAGGTCTTAGGAAATTGGTAGTGTTGTGTGTAGATCCATTATATCATTGTCATTTAATTTTTTTTTTTATTTTGCAATAACTGAGCTTCAGAAAAGTTGCAAGAATAATTCAAAGAACTCCCTTTTTTTTTTTCAAAGATTTATGTATTTATTTTGGAGAGAGAGTTGCGGGGAGAGGCAGAGAGAATCTCAAGCAGACTCCCTGCTGAGCCTGGAGCTCCACTCAAGGCTCCATCTCTCGACCCTGAGATCATGACCTGAACAGAAATCAAGAGTCGGATGCTTGACCGACTGAGCCACCCAGGCGCCCCACCCCCATTTATTTTTTTAACCCAGATTCCAATTTTTAGCATTTGCCACATTGGATTTATTATTCTTTCTATACTTGTATGTATTCTTTCTTTGAGCGTACATTTGCCTGCATCACACACTTTAATATTTTAGTGTGTATCTCCTAAAAACAAGGAGATGTGGACCTAGCCACAGTACAGTTATCAAATTCAGGAATTGTAACATTGACACAATACTATTATCTAATCTACAGCACATATTCCAGATTCACTAATTGTCCCAATTCTATCCTTTGTAGCAATTTTTTCCAGGCTCAGGACCTAATCTGTGTTCATACTCGGTATTTAGTTGTTAGGTCTCTTTAGTTTCCTCTCACTTCTGAGCAGTTTCTCAATCTTTCCTTGTTTTTGTGGCATCAGGCCAGTTATTTTATAGAACATCCCCTAATTTGGACTTGCGTAAGGATCGTTTATTTCTTTAAACTGAGGTATAATTTACGTGCAGCAAATGCACTTTTTCTGAACCACAGTTCTGTGAGTTTCGCCAAAAACACAGTTGTATAACCACCACCATCACAATCAAGATAGTGATTGTGACTGACCTTTCACCCCCCAAGTTCCTTGATACCCCCTTTGGGCATTCACCAATCACTTTTGTCTCTATAGTTTTGCCTGTTCAATAATGATCATTGTCTTTTTTTATCATAATCTTTTTTTATCATAAACTTTACCTTTAAAAGCAGAAGGTCCATCATGTGGTCTGACATTCAAGAAAGGCAAACAATATGAACCAGATTTGAAAAAGAGAAAAAAATGATTTGAAAAAGGAGGAAGCACATAGGGTTATCTCCGGAGCAAGATGATCTTACAAAAATGGGCAGCCAGGACTTGGGCCTCAAGATCAAGCAGAGGAAAATATTAAAGGTGGAGAAAGAATAGGGATGTATTGGGTTAAAATGGGCTGTTTTATTTATTTATTTTAAGAGAGGGAGAGGAGGGGGGTAGGCAGAGGGAGAGGGAGAGAAAGAATCTCAAGCAGACTCCCACTGAGCGCAGAGCCCAACACAGGGCTCAATCCCATGCCCCCGAGATCATGACCTGAGCTGAAATCAAGAGTCGGATGCTTAACCAACTGAGCTACCTGGCTGCCCCTAAAATTGGCTCTTTTAAAATATTGATGGTAGGGATGCCTGGGTGGCTTAGTTGGTTAAGCGTCCGACTCTTGATTTCAGCTCAGGTCATGATCCCAGAGACCCGGGATTGAGTCCCGCATTGGGCTCCTTCCTCAGCGGGGAGCCTGCGTCTCCCTCTTCTCCTCCCCCTGCTTGTGCTCTCTCTCTCTCTTTCTCTCCCTCTCTGACAAATAAATAAAAATCTTTTTTAAAAATTAATTAATTAATTCAAATAAAATGTTGATGGTAATCTAAGGAAGTCTAAGGACGTAATTTTTTAAAGACGATCTTCATGCAAAAGTTTGGTAAGAGCAATAACGGGAATTGACATAAGTGTCTAAAGTAGTGAGGAGGCTCCAGTTGAAATACCTAACTGGTGCATTTGTGTCACGGGGTAGGCCAGATGATCCCCCAGAGCTCTACACAAGGGCTTTGCAGCAGCTGAAAAGTAGAGAGCTGGGGAGGGAGGTGAGAATATGGCACAGGGTGATTATTGAGAGTGCTATAAACGACCACGCAGTCATTAAACATGACCTTCGTGGAGGTTTCCAAACTATGACTCTCAGTTTTTGGGTTTTGTTTTGAAATAGCTTTGGAGTGAAGAGTTTTCAGGACCCCACAAATTATTTTTACCCCTCCTATTTCCTAGCAGAGTCTTATCCTCCTCATTTGAAAAATTTAAAAGTCATAAAAATATTGTTATATAAGACCATCTGTTGAGTTACAATTTTAAAATTTGTCTTCTTAATATTCCAATCTGGTGTCGATATTCACTCAAATAAATCTGGCTTTCTATTATAAATGAGTTTTATGGAAAATTTCCAAAAGGGTGGGGGAAAATACTTTAAAATGACAAGTGAAAAAAAAAAAGTATGATGTGAATGGCTCCTGGCTGGCTCAGTCAGTGGAGTGTGCGACTCTTGATCTTGGGGTCATGAGTTCAAGCCCCACATCGTGTGTAGAGATTACTTAAATAAAGAATTTTTTTTAAAAAAAGTAGTGGAGCACTTGGGTAGCTCAGTCAGTTGAGCGTCCGACTCGTGATTTTGGCTCAGATATGATCTCATGGGTCGTGAGATAGAGCCCTGTATCGGGCTCCATGCTCAGCGGGGAGTCTGCTTGGGATTCTTTCTCTCTCCCTTTGCCCTTCCCCCTTCTCTCTCTCTCTCTCTCAAGTAAATAAATAAATCTTTTAAAAAAGTAGTAGGATGGGGCACCTGGGTGGCTCAGTCGTTGGACATCTGCCTTCGGCTCAGGTCATGATCCCAGGGTCCTGGGATGGAGCCCCGCATTGGGCTCCCTGCTCTGCGGGAAGCCTGCTTCTCCCTCTCCCACTCCCCCTGCTTGTGTTTCCTCTCTCGCTGTATCTCTTGCTGAAAAATAAATAAAATCTTAAAAAAAAAAAAAATAGTAAGATACAAGATTGCCTATCAGGTATGTCCTTAATCGTGTTAGAAATGATTAGAAAATAGAAAAAACAACTTGGAGGAAATATCCCAAAACATGAATAGAGTAATATTGGGTTAATGCGTGGGCAAAGCTTTAGAAAGCTACCCTTTCCTCTCGGGCTACTGTTCTTGGTCCATTGTGTCCGGCTGTGTTCCCACTGGGGCCCCTGCCCACTGCTCAGAGCCAAATCGAGTGCCCAAGGGCAGCAGGGACCCCCTGGTACATTTCTCTCTCCCTGAGCTCCCCTGATTCTCTTAGTCTTCTTAACATTAATGAACAGGCCTGTTTATATGTGCTGTATTATCGTCAGATACCTCCAAGCCATGTGCTTTAAAGAAACTGGTGAGAGGTCGGAAATGCAAGTCAATAATGACAGTCTCTTGAGACACCTGGTCTTGTGGAATGCAGTCCCCAAGCTCCTTGTCATTCCCAGCTCTGGGTCTTCACCTCCTGGAAGAGTTTCTTTTCACCATGAGTCTGTGGCCCTCTCCACCCTAGCCTCTGCCCAGCTCCCTTTCCTGGGCCTTCCTGAGGCTCTTCCCAAACCCCTCCCAGGACAGAAGTTGGCTCACCACAGGCTTCCCATCTTCCCAGGGAAAACTCTCCCCTCCTGGGGCCAGGCACTGCTGTCCCAGGACTTTGAGTTGTTATGCCGGGATGGCAGCCGGGCCGATGTCACCGAATGGAGGCGATGCCACCTGGCCCGCGTGCCTGCTCACGCCGTGGTGGTCCGGGCCGACACTGACGGGGGCCTCATGTTCCGGCTGCTCAACGAAGGCCAGGTGAGTTCAGGGCAGCCCCCCACCCCACCCCTGTACAGCTTCCCAGATGGTACCGAACCTTCCTGTCTCTCGCCAGGGTGGGAGCACGGGCTAGAGCCATCATGGGGCTGGGCCAGCCAGGCCAAGAGGGGCAGGACTCAGAGACCCTCCCCTGGGCCAGACCACAGCTGGGGACATCTCTGTGGTGTCCAACCTCGGTGTGAAGGAGGGACCAGCTGTGTGAGCTGGCAGCCAGAGAGGGGAGAGCCCGGCCTCGGGAAGCGAGGAGGGCCAGCCAGAGAGGCAGACCAGGGACGCAGGCACCGCTCAGAGAAAGCTGCTCGTGTCTGTGGCTCTTAAAAGTAAAACCAGAGTATATGAGCGAATAAACAGAATGACAAAGCCAACAAACGTCAAAGTACACCATTAATTAAATGTGAATAATGTCGGGCTGACATCACTATTCACAAGAACAACAGCTTTCTGACTGGGCACCCTGGCTCCAGCTAGGTTTGCCCCATCCATGCCACCACAGCGAGCCCCGTCCCGCACCCTCAGTCCCTTCCACACCTGGGCTGTGAGGGTGACAAGGCGGAGTGCACTGGGGGAGCACGGAGGACGGAGGCAGGAGGTGCCTCACCTGGTCCTCAGAGTGGGCGCCCGGCCAGGGGGCGCAGGAAGAAGGAGCTGCTGGCTGGCCCAGGAGGAAGGGATGTGCTGCCCTCCCTGCCAGCAGCACCTCCCCAGCCCCCACTCCCATCCCTGGACACGCAGCGTCTCTTCAGCCACGAGAGCAGCAGTTTCCAGATGTTCAGCTCTGAGGCCTACGGCCAGAAGAACCTGCTCTTCAAAGACTCCACCTCCGAGCTGGTGCCCATCGCCACGCAGACCTATGAGGCCTGGCTGGGCCGCGAGTACCTGCATGCCATGAAGGGTCTGCTCTGTGATCCCAACCGTAAGTCCACCCGTCTCTCGTCCCACAGGCTCTGGGCCAGCCTGAGCACAGGCATGGCAGTGCTTTCTGGGGAGGCAGCTGGGAAAGGACACTCACCCCAGGAGCTGTGCCCCTTGGCCTCCATGAGAACCGATGACTTCCACCTCCCTGCCTCTGGGGGTGTAGGGAGGCAGCTGTTCCAGAGTTGCATGGCCTGCTGTACCCTGGATGCCCCATCTGCTCCAAGGGGTGGGATCCAGACCATCAGGGTCTGTCTTGGGAAGAGTCTCCTTGCCCCTCCACACAGAAGTCATCAAGTCCCCGCATGCTCCTTCCTCAGTGCCTCACGCCTCCTCCTCCCCACCCCACAGCCAAGGCCCTGGCTCAGGCGTTGTGTGTTGGCTGGACCATTGCAGTAGTCTACAAATGGGCTTCCTGCTTCCTCGCCCCTACAGCAGGGAGGTGGTCTGCCACCCAGTTAGACACATGACAGCCATGATCGGCCTCAAGCCACCTCACAGCCCCGTGAAAGAGGCACAGTTATCCCCTTTCTGTGAGAGGAAACAGGATCAGAGGGTTAAATAACTTACTCCTCACAGCTAATGAGGGAAAGAGCCAGAATTTCCCTTGGGTCTGACTTCAGGCTCTTCCTACTGAGGTACTAGTCCCCATGACCCCAGCCCACGGGCCATGCTCGGGGCTAGCCCCTGAGCAGGTAAGTGTGGTGGTGACCACAAGCTCGCACACACACAGGGCTACCTCACTACCTACGCTGGTGTGTGCTGTCCACTCCCGAGATCCAGAAGTGTGGAGACATGGCTGTGGCCTTCAGCCGGCAGAGGCTCAAGCCAGAGATCCAGTGCGTGTCGGCTGAGTCTCCCCAGCACTGCATGGAATGGATCCAGGTGGGGGCCGCGCCCGGGACGGTCCTTACCAGCCCTTCCCCTGTGCCACCTGGTCTGAAGGAGGCCGCCTGGGGACGCAGTCTCCCATGACAACCTCACAGAGAAAAGGGAGGAGGAAGGACCAGCAGGGACCAGCCACCCCACCCCAGTGGACAGGGCTGAAGGTGGGGGGGGGTGGGCTCTTTCTTTTCAGGGAACCCAGGAACCCTTCCTCGCTGAGTGGGTGAGCTGAGAGCAGAAGGAACACCAGGAGACCAGCCCAGCTGGGCACTGCTCGTCCTGTGGTCTCCAGTAGAAAGGCATGAAACAAAACAGTACTGACCCTCACTGAGTACAATGTACCCTAACACTGTCCATCGTATTCCGTCCTAGTCTTTGTTTCTAAGCTTGTCATGGCCCGTTACGTTGCTTTGGCATCTACTACGCCGCTCCCCAGCTGCATTTAAGGGCCCTGCCCTGCTTTGCTTCTCTCACTGGAGTCTGAGGCAGAGCTTGGAGGTGGCCCTGGGGCCCTGCAGGCAAGCGTGCTACCCTGGTCACAGGTGTCCCAGCGGCCTCTAGCTTCCTGGACTCCTCCCTCCTCTTTCTTTGTCTTTCTTTTTTTTTTCTTTTTTTAAGATTTTATTTATTTATTTGACAGAGAGAAACACAGCAAGAGAGGGAACACAAGCAGGGGGAGTGGGAGAGGGAGAAGCAGGCTTCCCGCGGAGCAGGGAGCCCAACGAGGGGCTCGATCCCAGGACCCGAGCCAATCCCATGACCCGAGCCGAAGGCAGACGCTTAACGACTGAGCCACCGAGGCACCCCTTTTGTTTTTTTAAAGATTTTATTTATTTATTTGAGACAGAGAGAATGAGAGAGAGAGAGCATGAGAGGGAAGAGGGCAGAGGGCAGAGGGAGAAGCAGACTCCCTGCTGAGCAGGGAGCCCGATGTGGGACTCGATCCCAGGACTCCAGGATCATGACCTGAGCCGAAGGCAGTCGCTTAACCAACTGAGCCACCCAGGCGCCCCCCTTTTGTTTTTTTTTTAAGACTTTATTTATTTCAGAGAGAAAGAGCGAACGAGCAGGGGAAGGGGCAGAGGGAGAGAATCTCAAGCAGACTCTGTGCTAAACCCAACATGGGGCTCGATCTCACCACCCTGAGATCATGACCTGAGCCGAAAGCAAGAGTGGGACACTGAACGGACCGCACCACCCAGGCACCCCCTCCCTCCTCTTTTTTAAGAGCGCGTAGGTGGGGCCTCAGGTCAGGAGCCCTTATCAGGGCAATCCCCGAGTGCAGGCCAGACCACTGCCCCTCGGGAGTGTCCACACTGCCCCAGCCAGGCAACCACACTGACTTAAAGGCCAAGAGGAGGAGAGTGGGCAGGAATAACAGGAGGCCAGGATCACGACAGAGGACAGCCTCGCAAGCATGTGCGTGCCGTGTGCTGCACGCTACGCTAAGACTTCTCGAGGACCCCTTCACTTAATCCTCACAGCAGCATTCTGGGGTGCTGTGATCACTGTCAGGAAACCGAAGCTGGGAGAGGCTGGAGAAGCAACTGCCCACAGTCACCCAGCTCAGGGTGGGGGAGCCCCTCGCGCCAGGGGCCCAAGGAGGCTGGCCTGACCCCGACCACGGGTAGTGCTGAGGGAGGGGGCGCTCAGCTGGAATGGAGGGAGGGGAGACTGGAGGTAGAGGGCAGGCTGTCCTGTGTGGGGTGGCTGGGTCCACGGGCTGCAGAACAGGGAGAGATGCAAGAGGAAGGGTTCAGCTCCCTACAAGCAAGAGCCTTCTCTCTGTCTAAACTCAAACAGGGCCAAGGGAGGAGAGGAGCGGACTTGGGGGTTCCTCGAGAACCCCAGCAAAAGGCTCAGAGATGCTTAGTTCTCAGGCTCTCAGGGGTGGTGTCCAATGGAGCTCTGACCCCCATCTCCTTCCCAGCCACAGGGGCCCAGGGAACGGGGTGTCAGCTAGACTGGGTCCTGCCGTGCCCCCCCAGCGGCTAGGAGGTCTGGGTGGGGGGAAGAGAGGGCCCCCAGAGATGGACGCTCCAGGCTCAAAAGTCAACATCCCTGCCTGTTATTCCAGCATCACAACTTCATGCCCCTGGGCCTGAACGGCGTGGGGCACCTTCCTGGGGGCAGCTGTCCCCTCTCTCCCCCCCCGCCCCACCCCCTTTCCCTGGGGTTTGTCACACTACTGTGTCTTGATTATTAGTGAACCCCTGCTCAGGTCCGAGGGGCCACCTGTCCAGAGGCTTCGGAATGGACAAGATGGGTGGAGCAGGGGAGACCTGGGGTGCTTCAGGAGGGTGGAAAGAAGGCGGCCCTGGGCCCCTCCTGCTGCCTCCTGGGGCAGAGCTTTAACCACGAAACTGCTGTCTTTTGAGGCCTGGCTCGTTCATACATTTGCACACACATTGAGCAAATACCTATTGCCCTTGTGTCATGCACCAGCCCGTGGCCCAGGCCTCTGCGGGCCGCAGTCCCCAGGGAGGGCAGAGATAGTGCACAGGTCTGCTCAGAACAGGGCCCGGCAACAGGAGCGGCAGACCCCCCAGATGGAGCATTAGTGCCGGCAGCTTTCTCGCCTCTGGTCCTCCAAACCCCTCTCTGGCCCACAATCTCAGGGGTGCGGGGCGGGGGTCCCCAGGGAAGAGAGCCTGAGAGACCCAACCCTGGCACCTCTGTCAGGTCCCGACCCCTCCCCTGCCCGGTCGCCCTTTCTGTCCCCCTTCAGGCTGGGCAAATCGATGCCGTGACCCTGAAGGGCGAAGACATCTACATGGCAGGAAAGAAATACGGCCTGGTCCCAGCAGCGGGGGAGCACTATGCCCGTGAGTGCAGGGGCTGGGCCCTGGCCGCTGCTAGGAGGCAGCTGATAGTTTCATCTGGGTATCAGTTTCCCCCCTGGGCCCTTTTCCAAAGCTCCCCATCACGGCCTCTCTCCCGGGGCGGGTTGCTGTCTGTCACAGGCAAGCCCTCCTGCCTCAGGCCTCAGTTTTCCCACTGAGTCATTAAAAGTCTGGCAGGTGTGGGCAAACTTTCTGTAAAAGGCCAGAGAGTAAACATTTTAGGCTTTGCAGGCCACATATTCCTTGTTAGTTTTGTTGTTGTTTTTTTTTTTACAATCAACCCTTTAAAAATATAAAAACCATTTTATGCTTCTAAGCCAGGTCGTCCAAAAACAGGCTGAGTATTTGCCACCCCCTCGACGAGAGGGCCTCCTCTGCCCTTCCCGCCTACCCACTGTGGCTCACAGAAGGTGGCCCTGGGGACCCCCCTTCCAGTGGCCTGGGCTGGGACCTTGGTGCTCTGTCCTCCTAAGTGGTGACCTCAGGTCCTTCCACTTGGATGTGAAAAATCTCTGGGCTTTCGAAAAATGCTTCTGCAGTCCTTAGCTGTGCCCCCGCCTTTCTCCCAGGAAGTGAGAAATGTACCGCTTGGGTATAAGGAAAGAAAAGTCCCTTTGGGTGAGGAATGATAGGGGGTAGGTTGGGGGAGACAGAACTCTGAAAAGCGGAGACAGAATTCAGCCTTGTGGGGGACAAGCAGGGGTCCCACGGCTGGATGTGCAGCCGGGGCCCCGACACTAAGCGGGGAGAGGTGCTCGGGGTGGGACCACAGCTCTGAGGCAGGAGCCGCCTGACAGAATGGGTTGAGGGCACGAGGGGACGTGCCCCGGGCTCTTGCCTGGCCAGGCCAGGCAAGCACAGATGAGGGGCCTCACTGGCGTCCCCTCCCCACAGCGGAGGACAATAGCAACGCCTACTTTGTGGTGGCCGTCGTGAAGCGGAACAGCTCCTACGCCTTCACCCTGGACGAGCTTCGGGGCAAGCGCTCCTGCCACTCAGGGTTCCGCAGCCCCGCGGGCTGGGACATCCCCGTGGGCGCCCTGGTGCAGAGGGGCTTCATCCGGCCCAAGGACTGCGACGTCCTCACAGGTACCACCCTCTGCGGGGACACAGACGTGCAAACTCTTTTTGGGGGGCTGCTGGGTGTGAGGGTCTGGGAGCCCTCCCCCCAGCAGGGTCCCACAGAGCAGCCCAGAGAGGTTTCCTCTTCCTCCCTGATGTGCCCCATTCTCTTGGGAAGGTTGGGAAACATTCTTGGCTACACTTGTAACAGTCTGAGGGGTGTCTGGTTGTTCTGTGGAGGGTGCCATGGTGCCCCTAACCCACTTACCCAGCGTGGACCTGGCTCCAGTGGGCATGAGGAGCAGGGGATGTGTGTGGGCTGTGGGCCCAGCTGGATCACCGTCCGGTCATGGGGCTGTCCCCATATCCCAGCAGCCTCTGGGCATCTGGGGGACCTTTATGGAAAGTGGCCAGCCATCTGTATAAGTGCTGAAGAAGACGCATTTACCAGGCGGCCACCATATGCCATACCCAGGGCCCTCCCTACGTGTTAAATCACACACAGTCATGATGAAAGGAAGGCAGTAGGAAGCTGGCAAGATCCTGGGCTGACTGTGCACACACCTCTGTCCCGTCTGGCACCTCAGGAAAAAACCACATTTCTTTCTAACCACCTCCACGAGCACACAGAGAGTGTTAGGGTCGGCTGCTCCCACTCCTACACAGCTGGGCAGTTGCCCTGACTGGAACAGAAGAGCTTATGAGGTAGTGAGTTCCCCATCCCTGAGGGAGTCCAAGGGAAGGCTGGGTGACGACCAACCAGAGGTTGTCCATGGGGTTACTGTATCAGGACAGCCTCTGTACTCCCTCATCCCTGCAATTCTCACAGGAGGAGATGTGCCTGAGCTGGGTGGGCAGTGGACAGATGGGTGGCCTTGAGCCGCAGGGCCAGGCAGAGTGGGCAGATCTGTGGGGGGCGGCCCTCCCCTCTTCCCCCTGCTGCTCTTCCCTCGGCGGGCCCCTTGACTCAGCCCTGCCCCCCCGCCCGCCCCAGCCGTGAGCGAGTTCTTCAGCGCCAGCTGCGTGCCCGTGAACAATGCCAAGAACTACCCATCCTCGCTGTGCGCACTCTGTGTGGGGGACGAGCGGGGCCGAAACAAGTGTGTGGGCAACAGTCAGGAGAGGTTCTACGGCTACAGTGGCGCCTTCAGGTACTCCGGTGGCCTGGCGGGGGGGCCCGGGGCCCGCGCAGGGGCCGGGCCGCCCTGCCAACACCGGCCTTGGCCTCTCGCGCGGCAGGTGCCTGGCTGAGAATGCAGGGGACGTCGCCTTCGTCAAACACACGACTGTCTTTGAAAACACAAATGGTACGTGAGGGGGGCTGGGGCCAGAGCGGGGCCGGATTCTCCGGGAGCTCTTCCCCATCTCCAAAATGGTCCAGGCACTGGGCGTTGCTAGGACTGGGGCGAAGCAGCAGCTGGGAGAGACAGGGGCTAGAAGGCTCTGCCCCTGGGGGGCCGCCCGGGACTCCAGGGTCCTCTCAGTAAGAACAGACCTCAGGCCACATGTCCAGGTGCATAGGACACATGACAGTCTTTACTGGTCTAGAAACCAAAATCTCCATTCCACCAAAATGGTAAAACTCCACCTCAGTCAATTGGGAGAGACTCCTTCTGGGGCATTTATGTGGCACCGAGGTGCATGGTGGGAGTGGCAGGGTCATCAGTGCATGTGGGCATCTGGGCTTTGGTCCTGAGCTGGTCAATGCCTCGTGCGGGGAAGTCACTGTGCAGCTCCTAAGCCATGCGAGGCAGGGCACACCCCCACTCACATCACATGGGTGGCTTTTTCTCTGCAGTCACCTTCCTGGGCCCTACCTGGGAAAAAGAGCCCCGAAACCCTATGCCCCAGGCCCCCCTAAGCCCACACCTGCATCCTTTCAGGGTGCAGGGCCCTTTAGAGTGCCTCACTTCCCTCCTTCCATTTTGCCTCCCAACACCTATTGTTTGTTCTTTCTCTATACCCTGCCTCTACCCAGGCTTTGAAACCCCAGATGCTGGAGGCACAGTCTTCTCCACTCAGAAATTCTTCCCAAAAACTCAGGGCAGAAAGGCATAATGTGTTCCAAAGGGGAGGAGGCCCCCGCCCTCTGTGATAGGGCTAGGGGAGGGGCCCTCTCAAGATTCACCTGCAGCAAGGCCCCCACCTCCCAGGGCTGCTCCTTTCCCTTTCGTTTTATCTCTACTTGCGGCCCACCTGGAATTCCTTTTGGAAATGGGAAGAGGGTGGATACTAAGTGAATACCTGAAGACACAAAACTAATGGGATTCCCAAGAGCCCTGTTTCTGAGGAAGCCCTTGGGCCAACCCCCGGCTTCAGCCTCAGTGGGTTGCTGGTTTAAAACACAGATTCCTGGGCCCCACCCTAGCCGTACCTTTGAAACTGCCTCTCACAGATCAACACATGATGTTGTTCTACCTTGTCCGGTTTGAGAACTTTAACCATTAGGGGAAGATGTCACCCACCACCTTCAGCAGCCCACCTCACCTCAGGCCCAAGACCTGGAACACCTAGATGGGGCTCTTTGCCTGGGAGTGATTAAGAGTCTCAGTTTTTCCACCTGTGAAATGGGGGTGATCATACTCACTTGGTGTTACTGTCTTGAGGCTAGAGCAGGTGCTTGTAAAATGCCTGCTCCGTTCTAGGTGCTCCCTGCTCCCCGCCCGCAGAGGCTCCGACCAGTGTTAGCAGAGCGACTGGGGAATGGAGTTGGGAAGCTGGCCAGACATGGCCACCTCTCCCAGGTCAAGGATTTGGGGTCCCAGGAGGAAAGCAGCCTCTCTTCCTCTGTCCCTCTGCTCCCTCCCCTCAGGCCATAATTCTGAGCCCTGGGCTGCTGAGCTAAGGTCAGAGGACTATGAGCTGCTGTGTCCCAATGGGGCCCGGGCCGAGGTGTCCCAGTTCGCAGCCTGCAATCTGGCACAGATGCCATCCCATGCCGTCATGGTCCGGCCGGACACCAACATCTTCACCGTGTATGGACTGCTGGACAAGGCCCAGGTGAGCCAGGACAGGGGCTTCGTCACTGTGGGGTGGGCGACGAGGTGAGCCAGGGCCCTGGGTGCCTCACTCTACCTGGAGCAAACCGGGGAAGGCTGGGGAAACGTTCTGAGATTTTCACTTAGTCAAACCATTCCTCTAACTATCCCTTCTGTGCCCTGCGTTATTGTTTCCTTCTCAGCTGGACTGTTCTCACCAACATACAAACCTGCTGTTGTTTCTATCATCTTTAAAAAACAAATGAGCCCCCTCTTTTTTTTTTTTTAAAGATTTTTTATTTATTTGAGAGAGAGAATGAGAGAGAGCAAGCACATGAGAGGGGGGAGGGTCAGAGGGAGCAGCAGACTCCCTGCCGAGCAGGGAGCCCGATGCGGGACTCGATCCAGGGACTCCAAGATCATGACCTGAGCCAAAGGCAGTCGCTTAACCAACTGAGCCACCCAGGCGCCCCACACGAGCCCCCTCTTGATTCCACGTCTAATTTTAGCCCTAATCCCACCCCTCTTAGAGTAAAACTCCTTCAAAGGGTCATCTCTACTCACGTCACCAATTCCTCTCCTTCTGGTCTCTCCACTCTAGACAGGCCCCCACCAGGGCCTTGAACTTGCCCGGAACAAAATCACAGTGGCCCGTGGTGCTCAGTCCAGGGGCCGTTTCTCAGCCCACATGTCCCTGACCCTTTAGCAGCATTGGCCTCAGCTCCCGCCTGCTGGAGGAGCTTCTCCCCTTGGCTCCCGGGTCCACACCTGCCTGGCTCTCCTCCTCATTTCTCCTGGCTTCTATCCACGGACTGCCCCAGGGCTCCATTCTAAACCCTCTTCACCTGCACCTACACGCCTGTTGATCACCCAGCCCCATGTCATTAACAGCCATCTAGATATTGACGGCTTCCAAACACATCATCAGCCCTGCCTTCATCCCACCCTTCCATCTTGAACAACATTTCAACTAGGATTTCTAACAGGCTCCTCGGCCCGAACAAGCCCGCAGCTGGCCTGCCCTGCTTCCCTCAGAATCCCCTGCCCCCCGCTCTGAATGGCAACTTCAGACTTCCCATTTCCTCAGGAGTCATCTTGAACTCCTGTCTTTCTCCCGCATTCTACAGCTAGCCCCTCTACGAATCCCGTTGGCTGTACTTTCCATATACATCTAGAAGGACCCCAGACTGTCTGCCAACAGGGCCCTCGGTTCCCAGCCACCCCCCACCCCCCACCTCCCCATCTCCCTTCCTCTCTCCCATCTCCCCTTCTCCCCTCGGAAGTGACATGGGGAAGAAGAACGCTGTGGCAATGTGGCATTTTCCTGGAGAGAAGGCTGACCTGTCCTTGGGTCCTCGGATCCTCGGATCCTTGGATCCTCGAGCATCTGTGAGCCCCCCAAAAGATTGGTGGCCACTTTGATCCTTCTTACTGTGGTAGCTGTCATCACAGCTTTACTCCAAATCCCCTTTGATGACAGCTCGATGAGTTGTTGGGCTTATGATGTCAAGTCAGCCTGGGTGCCCTGAAATTCCTTGCTCCTTGGTTCGCTGTATAAAAGCCACAGATAGCAAGCAGCCGCTGAGTGGCCGTGGGTGCTTTCAGGCCCTGTTTGGAGATGACTACAATAAGAATGGCTTCAAAATGTTCGACTCCTCCAACTATCATGGCCAAGACCTGCTCTTCAAGGATGCCACCATCCGGGCGGTGCCTGTCGGGGAGAAAACCACGTACCGGGCGTGGCTGGGCCCCGACTACGTGGCCGCTCTGGAAGGGATGCTGTCTCAGCAGTGCTCGGGCGCAGGTAGGCCCTGCTGGCGGGCAGGTTCACCCCTCCAGACGGAGAGCAGGGGTCCCGCCACGTCCCCCGCCCCCCGCCCGGCATCCCTCCCAGCCTCGCACCCCCAATCCTCCAGCGAACTGAGGGATGCTCCGGGCGGTTGCAGACCATCAGGGTGAGGTGGGGGTGGGAGGGTGGTCCCCACGGGAAGGCTGCAGACCTGGCTGTGTAACCCAGACCGACCAGGATAAAGGGTGCGAATGGTGCAAGTAATGGCCCAGGGAGGACTGAGGCAGCCACATACATAGACGGGAAGGCCCATTTGGAAAGGAATGAGTATGGAAAGAAACCCGGGGAAAGACGAACTGTAATGGGGCAGAAAGAGGGGGCCTGCGGGGTCGAGCGCACAGAACCCCCCCCCCCCGCCCGGGCCACGGCCGGAGCGCCAGGTGCGGGCGGCCGCTCGGGGCCCTCACTGCCCGCGTCGCTCCCTCAGCGGCCCCCGGGCTGTCCCTGCTGCTGCCGCCGGCGCTGCTGCTGGGCCTCCGGGCCGGCCTCCTGCAGCCCGTCCTCTGAAGCCGCCGGGCGGGCGCGGCCCTCGCCGCCGGGGAACCTGCTCGGAAACCTCGGTGAAGAGGCTCTTCCCCTGGGCGCCGCGTGTGACGCGAGAGGACGCGTGAGAAACCCCGGAGCTCCTGAGAGCTGCGATTCTGACACCGAAGACGAGTTGCTGCGACCGCCTCGAACCGGAATAGAGACGAACGTGAAGGGAAAGGGCCCCCAGCTCGAGTGGAGTTGGACGTGAGCGGGCTCCCGCCCGAAGCCTGCCTCTGCCTCCCCGGCACCAGCTGTCCCTCAGGCACCTGAGGCGGCCGCTGGCCGGCCTCCCAGTCACGCCCCCACCCACCGGCTGGCAGCGCCCCCCCCGCCGCCCGCGGGGCCCCGGATTGGAAACGGCCCGTTCCCAAGGCAACATGCTGCGCGCGGCTTCCCACACGGCGCTCTCCGCGGAGCCGGCCCTGGCCCTGCCCAGCTAGCCGGGGAGGGGGGGCTCCTCCCCTGCGGGTCCCCCTAATGCACAGCCCCCCACTTCCTGCCAGCCCCGGCTCTAGACTCCCTCTACCGGCCTCCCTCCTGAGGACGCGGGGTCTGTCCGGGGAGGCACCCACCGGACGAGGCCGCAGTCCGGCCTGCCAAGGAGGTGACGCTGCTGGACACAGAAGCCCTTTGTCCTTGGCCTCCGTGGCTTGGCCCGGCCCAGACCACGGGACGCCTGACTGTGCTGGGCTGGCCAGGGGAGGGAGGCGGCGGCCCAAGACCACAGGGGTGCAGCCCTCAAGGGGTCCTCAGGCACAGGAGATGCTCCTCAGTAAGCATCCCCTCCCCTGAGTCTCCAGCTCAGATTCTCCTCCTCCCCGCCCCCCATGTGACCCCATGTGACCCCCGCCATCCTCAGCCACCCTGCGCATCCAGCACAGCAGTCGCCCCCAGCCTGAAGGGACTGCCCAGGGAGCTCCAGGCCGGGAGCGGGACGTGGTCCTCTGAGGAGCCACCGGCCGGGGACAGGCCCCGGTGGGGAGCCCCGCCGCCTCGGTGTGAGCAGGTCTCCTCACCCAGGCCCGCACCAGCGGGCGGAAGGGCCCCTCCTGCATCCCCTGTGAGTCAGAGGGCCTTCTCTACTCCATTTTTGCCACGGTTGTCTGGGGAGCCAGAAAAGCTTCCGGAAATACCAGCTCTGCCTCTGAATTTTGCTCCCCGAGAAAAGCAAAAAGAGAAGAAACAGGAGCAAGCCACCCTCTCAGCAGACTGGGAGCCGCGTGGCTCTGGAGCTATTTGCGGCTCCATCTGCGGGGGCCTCGGGGACGCCGATGACAGGCTGGTTCCTGGTACTTCGCCCCCATCCGTGGGGGCAGATACCTTCCAGCTCCCAGGCGCGAAGGAGGCCCCTGGCAGCATCCTGGCCAAGTCCTGCCGTCCCGAGGAGTCCCAGTCACCATGCTGGGGGCCTACAGCCCGCCCCCAGGGGCCGGAGGGAGCGGCCTCCGCTGCCAAGCTTTGTACCCTCTTCACTGAGGGGACTGAGTGATTCTCTGACCTGATGATTGTTTGATTGTTTTGTTTTGTTTAAGGGAGATTTGTGCAGGAGTGTGTGTGTTTGGCCACCCTGGGCTAAGGTGACACCAGTAACTATAAGCCACTGAAAGTGTGACCTGTGTAACTGCTCTGTGATGTTGGGTTTTCAGGGGACAGCACGGGGCCACCTCTGTTCGTGCTAATAAAAGATGTTGGTTTGTTTTTTAAATAAAGCCAAACAACCCTGTACCTGCTGAGGCTTGGAATCTGACAGAAACTTTCTGCTGCGGATTGATTTGTCTACTTAGGTGGTCAGAGGCCTACCCGCCCCACACCACTCCCCTGCCCAGAATGGCCGTTTCCCCTCAGAGCCCTGTTCCCTGAGAGCCAGAGTCGGGCACCAGCCCAGGCCTCCAGCCGGTGAGGCCCCCAACTCCCTACTCCTCTCCAAACCGGCCCCCAGCACATCTCAGCTACCTCCATACCTTCTTGGGGATCAGCAATTCTGGAGACCAGATACAGAGGAGGGTGCAAACGTCTGCACCCACCCATGCCCTGTGTCTCCAAAATAAGCAGCCCACACCTTTGCTTTGGCAAGTTGGCTGCTAACTCACTGGAGGAGGGAAGGGGAGGGAAGTCAGACCTCCTACCGTCCTCTGCCTCTCCTGAAGGGTGCAGCGGGCAGGTCTTGGTCTACGCGCCCTGCTCTGGCTGGGGAGGTGGAGGTTCCCTGCCTCCCCCCTTTCCCTGCTCCTCCTCTGCTGCCCCAGGCCCCCCTCCCCCATCCCTGCAGCCCTCTCACAGAGCTGGGTCTCACTCCCACAGCCCTCAGCCCTGTAACTGGGTGGGTCTGCCCTATCCCATGAAGCTGGGCGGGGACCTGGGCCTCAGAAATAGTGCACATGGTCTGTGCGCCATACGGCTCTCCCAGGGCTGCCAAGCTTTTGGAGAGTTACCTAGCATCCGAGCCCCATCCCTGCATCTGAAACAGGAGAGGGACGGTATGCACCTGGTGAGGTGGTTGCGCAGATCGGATTCTACTGTATGTAAAACACTCCGCACCGCACTTGGCACATCCCAGGTGCAGGAAAGATGGTCACCATCACTACTCGTTGGGGGGGCTTAAGTGTCAAATTCCTGGGAGAATCACCTGATTGACCCAATGTGGGCCAGGTGTCTTCTACTGGACCACTCAGCTCAGGCAAGCATCAGGGCCATCAGCGGAAACAGACCACTGAGGCCCCACAGAAAGAGGAAATGAAATCACCATGAGCCAGGCAGCATCCCCAACTGGTAACTACCAGGCCTGCTTTAGGCGATAGCTGGCATTTGTCGAGCACCCACTTATTGATATCTATTGTCAGTACCCCTAGACAGGGGCAACAGGGACCCTGGCCCTGGGTTTTGTGCTTTAGAGCAGTGCTTTTTAAACTTCGATGTGCACATGAATCTCCTAGGGATCTTGTTAGAAACAGATCATGATTCAGGAGGTGTGGAGTGAGGCTGCAGTTCTAACCAGCACTCAGGTGGGGCCCACACAGCTGGTCCTGGGACCACATTTTGAGAAACAAGCCTTCAGAGGCCTCTGCTGAAGCCCTCTTCTGACCACAGCCCACCCACAGCGGGAAGAGTCACAGGGAAAGGGGCTGTGTTCGCCCAAAGCCCATAACGCATCTTTTAGACCATGCTTCTCATTCCAAAGAGCCCTGAGCCAGCTTCCAGGTTTGGACTTCTTCAGGTCCTGCCTCCAAAAGGTGGTCAGGAGGGTGCTGTCCACAGGAGGTGTAGAATGAGCTTGATGAACAGCCTCTGTGCATGAGGTCCTCAAAGTATGGGATGGAGCCTGGATGGGAAGAGAAGCAGGGAAGCTATGAGATGGGAGCCTGTTCTCTCTGCATCTCCTATTCCAGTCCACCACATCTTTATAAAGGTTCATCAGTCAAAGTAGAAGGACAGGACACAGTTTCTTTAAGTTTTTTAGCTTGATTTGTAACTTTTAAATTTGTAGCCACATGGGAGGTGAGCCTCCATTGGTACTCTTGTCCTGGGCCCAACAAAGGGTTGGGGTGGGCCAGCCTGCCGTGCACAGAGCTATTAGCGCTGACAGTCCTGTTCTCAGGGCTCTGGAAGACAAAAAGAAGTCAGGTTAAGGTCCACTGCCCCTGCCTTTGGTCTCATTTGGGGAGGCCACTGGGCAGGTGTGGTGGAAGCAACAATGGTGACAAGGTGAGTGACCCCCCTCACCCCCAACACGGACAGGCAGGTCCTCCTGGCCCCCACAGCATATCACAGATAAGACACCACCCCCACCTTCAGACTCCTCTCCAGGGCTTGTTTTACATGTTTATGATGAGGATGGATTCCTTAGGGCCATGTTCTTGTAAAAAGTGCATGCATTACGTATAAAAGCCATCACTATTTTTTTAAAGATATTTCAATTTGGAAAAAAAGAATGGATCACTTACCAAGGGTTCCGGAAATTTGCCTTGTAGTTCCACTCTTGCTATTCACAAATACTTTCTCCTGCCTCAACCTCAGCTCCCAAATCCACACTGGGAAGTCTTGGACAGCCCCTCGGTGGTTCCGAGTTCCCACAGTTCTTCTCAGACTCAACGTCTCCATCTTTGCAGGATTATCGCCTGGTCTGTGCCGAAGGGCAGAGGGGCCAGGAAAGCCCTTCTTTTACTTCTGCCTTTCCCAGCTGTCTTTGTGTTGCCACTAACAGGCCAGAAACTGCTTCACAGCCTGAGAGTCATGATGTGCCCGTGGTTCTCCAACTTGAGTGCATCGGAATCACCTGGAGGGCTTGTTAAAACAGAGTGCTGCCCCCACCCTGAGTCCCTGATTCCAAGGGCTGGGAATGTGCATTGCTGGCGAATTCCCAGGTGATGTTGATGCTGCTGATCAGGCCACCTCGCTTTGAAGACCACTGTTAAAGACAGCGTGAGCTCATACCGCAGGAGAACGTAAGAAGTGCCTGCCCAGTGGAGTTGAGGATTTGGGTGGGAAGGGTGAGTGGAGGGGAGGTCCTCATGGAGGAAGCTGGGCCCAGCCCAGAGGAAGGAGCAGGCCCGTGTGACCGGGGCCCCGTGCTGTCCATGCGGAGAGGTGGGATATGCAGGATGATGCTGATACACCTAGCCCAGGGGTCCCAGCTAGGTAGCTGAGGGACTGGGGCAGCAATCTGACTTCACTCTCCTGCCCAGTGCATGGCTCCGTCCTCCCACAGGTCGGGTGCCCTACAGCCCGCCCCAGGCATCTCTGAGGAGGGCTCTCTGGAAGAGAAGACTGCAAGATTAGCGTAAGGACCCTGTGTGGCCAGAATACACTTCTTCTTCCCAGCTGCTGATGTCCCCAGAAACCTCCAAGGGGAAAACCCACTTTATATTCTCTACTGTAGCTGACCTTTGGGACCCTGGGGGACGAAGAGAAGGGTCTGGTGACTTACTGGAAAAAATCCCAATCCAGGCAGCTTCATGGCAGACTGTGCCTGTGGTCACCCCATATCCTTCTCCCCGCTTCCTTCCTGGCAGTTTGGTTCAGGACGGCAACGTGCCCAGCCACAAAGATTCACTGTGGGTGACACCACCCAGTTCTGGCTGATGAAATCTCAGAGCAAGTTCCAGGGTATGGATTTCAGGGAGGCATTTTAAAAGGAACGGGGCTAGCACAGGCTTTCCCCTTTCCTGCCCAGAAAGCAAAGGCCAAAGCTGGAAAATGGAGTGGCCGCCTTGCCGTGTGAGGTAGCAAGCAAGCAGAGAAAGGCACGGTGAGCAGAGCAAAGGAGAAAGACTGAAACCCTAGGGTCAAGTGGAGGTACTCAGGCCTGCACGGGCCTAATCCAGTTCCCTGACTGTTAATCTGGTATTCTGTTGTTTCAGCTGAATGTATTCCTAACTGATATCAGTGGAAAGGGTGGAAAGACCACGAGATGGGCCCCTGGGACCTCAGGCTGTGTGACTCAGGGAAAGTCATGGGCCCCCTCTGGGTCCCTGTTTCCTCATCTGTGGGGATGAACCACCCAGTCTTCAGGGTCTCTTTATGCCTTTCTGTGGCTCAGAATCAAGACCCTGAGCCTCTCCTAGGTGAAAGGGCTGGGCACAAGGGGGACACTTCAGTGATGGGGCAGGAAGTCACCTTGGGAATGGTGACATCCTGGGGTCTTATCGGTGGTCAGCCAAAGGGAGAGCCTAAAATACAGAATAAGGGGCACCTGGGTGGCTCAGTCGGTTAAGCATCCGACTCTTGATTTCAGGGCAGGTCATGATCTCAGGGTTGTGAGATCGAGCCCCAAGTCAGCCCCGTGCTGGGCATGGAGCCTGCTTAAGATTCTCTCTCTCTGAGGCACCTGGGTGGCTCAGTCAGCTAGGCGTCAACTTGAGGCATCTCTCTCTCTCTCTCTCTCAAATAATGTCTTTAAAAAAAAGAAGAAGAAGAAGAAGAGTAGATTTAAAAAAACAGGCCTTGCCCGGCTAAGGTCTGGATGAAAGTCTGATAATGGAATGGCTACCCAATAATCCTCCAGTCCTCCTTTCTCCCGCCAAGCACATGAGAATTGTCTGTCACCCTATGGTTATCCGACTGTGGTCTCTCCCCTACCATCTGTGAACCTTGTTTTCTTCGATTCCACATACCAGCCCCGACCACAGACCTGGCTAGTGCTGAGTACAAGAATGAATAAATGCATGAATCCATGGAGAACTGAGCCCAGACCGCCATCCTGGCAGGCACCCCGCTGGCCCGCTGGCAGCCTTCGGCCTGAGTTTCTTCAGCCCCTGCCTGGCCCGTTTGCCTCCTTGAGGGCAGACCTAAGCCCCTCAGAGTTGCAGGCCACCAGACTCCAGCAGGACTGATAACTTGTAGACTGGCTGTGTCTTTGGAGTTGGACTTGGGAATTTAACAGCTTAGGAGGCCAAGGCACATCCCTGCCTCTTACCCAGAGCCACCCAAGGATAAAGGGGCATTCCTGAGCACATGTCTCTGCTGGCCTGCTGTAGGACCACCTGGGAGGAAGGCCGCTGGCCCTGCAGGGAGAAGGCCCTGGAAAACAAGAATGTGCTACTGGAATGAGGCAGCAGAACAGTGGCCAGGGCTGTGGGAATTTTTCTTTAAGATCAGCCTGCTAGAATATGCCCAAAGACGGTCGGTGGATATGCAATAGTGTTCGACCTGGAGTTTTTGTGATAGCAAAATACTGGGAACAATCTAAATGCCCAGCCATACTGGGTTGGATCTATAAAAGATGATACATACTTTTATTTGCAATGAAATACAGTGGATAGTCTGCAGCCATTAAATAAAGGATAGAGCTATATTTACTGATGTGGAAAGATTCCCATGACATATTGTTGAGTAAAAAGAGCAGGTTATGAAACAGTATAGGATCCCATTATAAAATCACACACACACACGCACACACACACGCACACAGAACCGTCTGGAAATCTGTTCACCAAACTGTTAACAGTATCTCTAGTTGGTGGAATTTAGGGTAATTTTTACTTTCTTCTTTAAACTCTATATTTTACATCTAAAGCATTCAAGAGAACGAATCATTTTCACTTGGGAATGAATACATAACAAGCAAACAAAAAACAAGGTGAAACCGTCCCCTGCCCGGATCACCGTCCTAATGTTTCCCGTGTCCTCATCTCGGGCATGCAGCTGTGAGGAGGCCCAACCAGGAAGCGGCGCAGGGCTGTGGAGGGAGCCAGGCTTAGAGCCACGCACTCCAGGATGTGGATGTGGCTCTACCACGAACTGTGAGACCTCCGAGAAGCCACTTAACCGTTCAGAGCCTCCGCTTCCTCCATGAGTGTCTGCTTCTTGGGCTGGTTGGGAGCCGTGACTAAGAGGCAGGCCAAGAGCCCACACGGTCTTCTGGAGAGGACAGACTGAGGCCCCTGCCTGCCCCGGCCAACCGAGGAACTCGAACCCAAGGCCTCACAGACCAGAAACAGAAGCCTTAAGCATCAGACATTTGTATGATTATTGGGATTAAAGTGTGGACCGTAGTTTTGACTTTTCCAATTTCTGTAACTCCGTGTGACCCTGAGCCCACAGCTTCCTGCCAGGCTGTGGATAGACCTGGGGGGAAGAAAGAGAAGTCTGTGAGGCCAAGGTCATCCTGAAGGACGTAGACGAAAATCGAGGCTCAGCGGGGCCAGCTGCAGGAGAGGAACGAGACCCTTAGTCCTGGTCGGGGGACTCTGGGCAGCAGACCACAGTGGCCACTACCCAGAAGGGAAGCAATGTGCCGGAGATCACATGGAGTAAAGGATGGAGTGAATTCGAATCCAGCCGGCCAAAGCCCCCAGTTTAATCCCAATGATCATATGAATGTCTAACACTTAAAGGGTGTGTTTACTGTGCTGGTTGTGGTACTAGGCACAAACTCTAAGTTCCGGGGCCTACCGCTCAAACCACCCTCAGAAGTAGGTATTAGTGTTATAGCCTCAGTTTACAGATGAAGCAACCAAGGCTCGGAAATGATAAGTAACTTGCTCAAGGTCACTCAGCTGATAAGCGAGGACTTGAGCCCAGGCAGTTTGATCCCAGAGCCACTACATGATAAGGCCATGGTGACAAACTGGACCCTTGCCTTGCCCAGGAGCGCATGGCTAACAGGCATTTTTTTTAGTGTTTTTTGGAGAGGAGAGCATGGTGAACCTTGACCTCCACAAGCTGTCCACTGGTGTGCAGTGACAGCCCACGGAGGAGGCTGAGCCTGCCTCGGGGCTGTGCCACCCCACAAGCCCCCTGCTCTAAGGCCTCAGAGACCCGCCCCCCCCCACCCCCCATGCTCAGGGAGTGCGGCCCGGCTGGAGGAGCCTGACCCCTCAGCCCTGCTCACAGCCCAGGTCTGCGCGGAGCAGCTCCACCAACCAGGAGGCTTGGGCTTTGGCCCCATGATCTCCGCAGAGCCCTGCCTACAAGTCTAGGAGCCTCGGTGTACTGAGCTGTAGACAGCAGCTCATTGCTATCATCACCTCTGGGTCTCTTTGCAAAGGCTGCTGGAGAAAAAGGATCATAATACACATTGCAAACACCACCAGCCCCAACAGAAGCTAATCTTTGACAGCCGGCTACCCCACATTCCTCAGAGCAGCATGAGTCCGCCCTGCGGCGGGTGGGACCCTGCGGCCTGTGAGAGGCTGTGATGGCAACCCGGAGCCCCGTGTCCCAGAGCCCGCAGCTGCACGGGAAAGCCTGACCTGCACAAACACACCGTGCGCTAGCCTGCTAGCCTGGCTCTTCTCCGTCCCGCCCGGTTACGCGTCTCTATCTGGGAAGGGTCTGCCTCCCCAAACAACCCTTTAAGGCAGAGACTGAGCCTGCCCTCTGCCAACTGCATGCCCAGGGCCAAGCTTCACCTAGAACATAGCTGGGATCCAATAAGGGATTTGCTGGGTGAATGAATGAATGAATGAATGAATGAATGAATGAGATACGATGTTAATTTTGCATTCCGGAAGGCAGACCGCTCCCAAGGGAGCTCCAGGAGAGCTGAGTGGCCTGGTCCTCCCTGGAACTCCCAGACTGTTAAAGATAGCCTGACAAAGAAAGGGTTACTGTTGGCATCATGGCTGGCCAGTGTCTACCCCCGTCCTGACGATCAGTCACCAACATTCCTTGTCACCTCGACTTCTCCCTCCCAGGGGAGCTATTAGTGCTGCCCCCATTCTTCAGGACAGGCAGGTGGAGGCTCTGAGAATCAAGGGGCTCAGTGGGATGTGAACACAGACACAACCAGCTGCAGAGCACGGAGGCGGCAAGTCTGCAAGGGTCAGACCACACTCGAAGAGAATCTGCCCCACGTTCTGCCTGGGCAGCCGGGCTGCAGGCTGCAGGACACCCCAGCCAAAGTCCAGGCGCAATTGTCCTTATCTCCGGTGCTCCAGAGCCCCATCATCTTCTCAGGACCCTGGTCGGGTGGGCCCCTGACCCAGAGCAGGAGGCCGGGGTCACCACTTGTCAGAGCCCGCACTCGCCATGATAACAGAAGTGCTGGCCCTGCTGAGGTTGGAGACGGGTGGGGCTCTGAGCTTATCTTGGGGAGGTCGGAATTCTGCCCCAAAGCTTCTTCAGCCTGCTGGCTGCTCAGCTGAGCTCCGTTCAGGGCATGAAGTCCCTTCCTCCTCTTGCAGGGGGTACCAAGAGCCCGGAGCACCTTCTGCCTGCAGATGTGCTCGGCCATCCGCCCTCCTGGCTGAGGAGTCTCTGGCCCCACAGCGGAGAGTGGAGCTGGCTCGGGAGGAGGAGCATCCAGGCTGATACATGCCCCCGCTCCTAAGACCCTGAATCGGTTTGATTAGCTGATTTCCTTCAGCAAGACGCCAGCTCTGAATGAGTGTGTGTGTGAGCACCCATGCATACATTATGGATGTGCCGTCACAAATGTAAGCACCGACCCCTGTTGCCAGCCCTTCCTCCTGCAACAGGACAGAGGAGCTGGGTCCTGCTCAGCAGAGGATGACGAGAAATACCCTCACCCAGGACCACAAGCTTTTGAAGCCCTCACTCTTCTTCCCATTTCCATTTCCATCAGAGGCTAA